ATGTGCTTAGATGCATTAACTGACTTTATTAGAAGAGACGGTCTCAAGTGAATAATTTAAGCTTCCACCTGTGAAACTAGAAATGAAGAGCAAAATAAACCCAAATTAAACAGAAGAAATAATAGAGAACAAAAATCTGAGAAATAGAAAACAGGAGGAAAAAAAAGAAAAAAAATCAGTGAAACTCAAAGCTCTTTAAAAAAAATCAATAAAATTGTAAACCTCTAGCAAGACTGGCAAAAGAAAAAAAAAAAGGAAAACAAATTACCAATATTAGAAAAGAAAAAAAGGAAGACAAATTACCAATATTAGAAAAGAAAAAAAGGAAGACAAATTACCAATATTAGAAAAGAAAGAGGAGATACCACCGTAGACTGTACAGGCATGAAAAGGATAATACAAATAGCTCTACATATATAAATTCATCAGCTTCGATGAAATGGACCAGTTCCTCAAAAACCACTGTATTAGTTTTCTATTTCTCCTATAACAAATTACAAATGTAGTGACTTTAAAACAAAGGGTTTTTATTTACAGTCCTGGAGACAGAAGTCTGACATGGGTCTTACTGGGATAAAATCAAATTGTTGACAGGACTTGCATTCCATTGTGGAGGCTTTAGGAGAGAATCTGTTCCTTGTCTTTTCCTGCATCTAGAGTCTGCCCACATTTCTTGGCTTGTGGCCCCCTTCCATTTTCAAAGACAACAAGTCGAGTTGTTCTCACATCTTACTCTAACTTCCTCTTTTGCGGCATCCTTCCACATTTAAGGACCCTGGTGATTACATTGAACCCACCCAGATAATTTGGTTTTTTAAGTTCAGCTGATTATTAACCTTAATTCCATCTGCTACCTTTGGAGATTAGGACATGAATATCTTGGTTGGGTGGTGGGGGGTGGCATTATTCTGCTGATCACAACCATAAGCTATCCAAACTCGCCCAAGTAGGTAGCCAACTGTCCCCATGGCCCCATTTCTCTCTAGGCTCCCCCCAGAACTTCTGTTGTACTTTCTCACTGAATTTACCTACCTACTCTAGTTAACTCATATAAGTAGAATCATACAATATTTCACCTTTTATGTCTGGCTTATCTCACTTAGCATAATGTTTTCAAGGTTTGTTCCTTTTTTTTTTTTTTTTGAGTCTGATCCTCACTCTGTCTCCCAGGCTGGAGTGCAGTGGTGCAATCTCAGCTCACTGAAACCTCCGCCTCCTGGATTCAAGCGATTCTCCTGTCTCAGACTCCCAAGTAGCTGGGATTACAGGCATGTACCACCACACCCGGCTAATTTTTGTATTTTTAGTAGGGACGGGGTTTCGCCATGTTGGCCAGGCTGGTCTCGAACTCCTGATCTCAGGTGATCCGCCCGCTTTGGCCTCCCAAAATGCTGGGATTACAGCGTGAGCCAACGCACCCGGCCCTCGCTGCTTTTTAATAAAGATACAAAAGCTAATTCAAATGGAAAAAGGATATTCTTTTCTACAAAGACATGAACAATTCAACATTTACATGCAAAAATAAAAACCTCAACCTATACCTTGTATTTCATATAAAATTAAGTCAAAATGGATCATAGATCTAAGTATAAAACCTGAAACTATAAAACTTTTAGAAGAAAACAGATCTTTGTGACCTGGGGTTTGGCAATGAGTTCGTAAGACATGACACCAAAGGCACAGTGTATAAAACAGAAATTTGATAAATTGGGCTTCATCAAAATTAAAACCCTTTGCTCTGTTAAAAAAAAAAAAAAAATTAGGAGCGTGAAAAGAGAAGCGATACACCGGGATAATATATTTGAAAATCCAGTATCAGAAAAAGAACTTGAATCCAGAATATAAAAGAAAACACAGTGGTAATTTAAAAACTCAATTTAAAAAGGGGCAAAAGATTTAAGTAGATTTAGATAGATATTTCACCAGAAAGGATACAAGGATGGCAAATATCCCTCTGAGAAGAGTTCAGCATTGTTAGCCGTTAGGGAAATGCAAATTTAAGCCATGGTATTACATATTAGAACAGCTAAAATTTAAAAATACATAGTGATAATACTAGTACTGGCAAGGATGCGAACAGCTGGATCTCTTAGCAAAACGGTGCAGCCACTCTGGAAGACAGGTAGAATCTTAATCATACATTTACCACGTACTCAACTGTGTCGTATCTAGATATTCATTCTAGAGAAATGAAAGCTCATGTTCACGTGAAAATCTGTAGCCACGTGTTTTATAGTTTTGTTTATAGTTGTCAAACCTGAAGACAATCTAAATGTCCTTCAGCAAGCAAATACATAAACAAATTGGTTGTTATTCAGAGGAATAATAACAATAAAAAGAAATGAAGTATTGATATACAGATGTGTTAGGGAGTCCCATAACCACCCGTATGCTTGAAGATTTACTAAAAGGACTTATATGATTCATTGTATAGTTGTACGCCTCCTAAGATTAATTGCAGCAATATAGTAAGGATACATAGTTGGATCCTAAGGACACACATGGAGTCTGGAGGAATCCAGTGTCTTGATAATTTTTTCTTTCTGCGCGGTGGAGGGGGCAGGGGTGGGGGACGAAGTTTTACTCTTGTCGCCCAGGCTGGAGTGCAGTGGGGCAGTCTTGGCTCACTGCAACCTCCACCTCCCGGGTTCAAGCGATTCTCCTGCCTCAGCCTCCCGAGTAGCTGGGATTACAGGCGCACACCATCGCGCCCAGCTGATTTTTGTATTTTTAGTAGAAAAGGGGTTTCGCCATGTTGGCCAGACTTGTCTCAAACTCCTGACCTCAGGTGATCCGCCCACCTTGGCCTTCCAAAGTGCTGGAATTACAGGTGTGAGCCACCGCCAGCCAAGAGAATTTTTTCATTTCAAGTGCAGAGGCAGGAGGATTGATCACTTGAGCCCAGAAGTTCGAGACCAACCTGGACAAGATAGGGAGACCTCCGTCTCTACAAAAAGACTTAAAAATTAGCCAGGCGTGGTGGTACGTGCCTGTGGTCCCAGCTACTTGGGAGACTGAGGCCAGAGGATCACTTGAGCCCAGGAAATTAAGGTTGCAGTGAGCCAGGACCACACCCCTGTACTCCATCCTGGGTGACAGAGCAACACAACACCCTGTCTGAAAAAAGGAAATTGTATTTATATACATTCCAGTAACTTGGAAATAACTTGCTGCTCCCCAGTCACTGCTTGATGTAGCTTTACTATTTGTTATGTGGTATTCTCACATTTTTTACACAATTGCAGGCAAAATAGTTGGTGTGGCAGTCATGGCTGTGTCTTTTGTTTAAACATCCATTTTGACTACAAGCGAAAATACCCACTTATCTTTTACCCAATTCACTGTATCTAGTAGAGCAGCGATTCTTAAACTTCAGTATGCATTATAGTCAGTCACCTAGAGGGCTTTTTAAAACATGAATTGGTAGGCCCCACCCCTAAGAGTTTCTGATTCTGTGGTTTGGGGTTGGGCTGAATAATTTGCATTTCTAGTAAGTACTCAGGTGATGCTAATGATGCTGGTCAGGGAACCAACTTTGAGGACCAGTTTGTTAGTGAATTTAACGCCTGCACATTAGAATCACCTGCGGAGTCCCCATCCCTACTTTTTCAGAACTGGCTCTTGTCCAATTAAGTAAACGTGTTTGTAAGTCCTGCTCAAACATGGTGTTAGGATTATTATGGTCCTTTTCAACAGATGCAGCTCCATAACAAGTGTAAACTTTTTATTTTTTACTCCCAATCTTCGTAACACTTGTGTGATAACTATAAATGGTGGCAGGAGTGGCCAGCTGTGTGGTTTGGTGGTTTTAGTTCACATAAATCTGTATTCCGTCAATAGCTCACTTTTTGGTCTTGGCCAGTTCCCATAAGTGCCTCCTGTACATAGCTTGTTAATTTTAAGGACTAAATAGTAACTACACAGTAGAGAAACTGGCTGTCACTTTGGGTGATCAAAATTAACATCACCAATGAAGGGAAGATGGGCATCATGTCTTTTCAGACACCTGGAAGGACAAACATCACTTATACAGCAGTTTGACAACATCATTTAAACAGCAGTTTGGTTATACTTGATTGGAATGCGATCATAAGGGAACCAACAGATCCAGATTGAGAAGCATTCAATTTTTTAAAAAGGACCTTATTCTTCTTAAATAGCAATATCATAAAATATAAAGTTTGCAGAACTATTCCATATTAAAGGAGATTAAAGAGATCTGATAGCTAAATATAAAAGTGATCCTAAGCTGGGTCCTGTACTGAAGGGGAAAAAGTGCTGTAGAGGATAGTATTGGGTCATATGACAAATTGGAATATAGATGGTAGACCAGATAAAAAGTATTGTGTCAATTTTGAATTTCCTGAGGTTGATAACAGTACTATGGTTAGTACTGTTCCTTAGGAGACACACTGATAATATTTGGAGGCAAAAATACCTGATAGTGCAACTTAATCTTAAATGAGTCAGAAAAATATAAGAGATGGAGCAGATGATAAGCAAATGGGGCAAGGATACAGGTGTTCTTTCCAACTTTTTTGAATCTAGAATTATTCCCAAATGAAGTTATAAACAAAAAAATTTCAGCTCTTTATTTCAGGATAGTTGTAAAGATAAACAAAAAACTATATAAAAATGTATTAAAAGAACAGAGTGCTTTACAAGCAGTGGCTCAAATGCTGCTGAATCTAGGTGGCCTTGCATCACATTCTGTAGGTGTCCCCAGCTACACTGTGGGTGCCAGAGAGCCTGCAGGAGGTCAGCATCCTCCTGATTTGTAACTGTCCCTCCCCCCGCTCAGTACAGCTTCTTGAATGTGTCTTGTGTCGTACTTCAGACACACTGAAGTGTAAAATTCATGCTATCTAAAATTCATTCTATCGTAGTAGCAAATTTTAGTTTGTTTTCTGCTGGCTAAACTATTCTGTGACTCACCTGATCATAGTCTCTTATTATTTATTGCATATACATTAGCTTTGAAAAGTATATTTCTCTTTCAGCCCAAAATGGAGTTAATACTGACTGGGAGAAGAAAGTAATTGAATATTTTAAGGAAAAGCTGAAGGAAAATAATGCTCCTAAGTGGGTAAGCTTATTGCTATTTTCGAGGGAGAAGGTTGGACAGACTACAAAGTTTCTCTTAGTAGAGTAACTAAGTAACCCCCATGTAATTTAAAAATATGTAAATTAATGTGTACTTCTGCTTCAAGTACATTTGTATTAAAAGATTTTGGTCTTTTGCTAATTAAGTTTAAGCAAATAAATACTTATACATTCTGCCTCTAGATGGCAGTAACTGACTGTGTTACTTCCTGAGACACATCTTTAGTTGCAAGAGTCAGTTAGCTACCTTTGTTTTATTACCTTCATTTTAAAAGAATTGGCATGTGCTAGTTTTAAGAGAAGAGCTCAACAAAGTAAATGCCTTTTTGATCATTGAAAAGTGTTCTGAATTAAAAGCATTTTTTAGCATTCTTTTACATTATGGTCAAATGTTATCTAAAACTTGGAAGAAATGGAAGAGGACTTGGGTTCCAGCAATTATGTTGACCATTGAGATCATTTGGCTCCCTGACGAGGCATGGGGGGGGTGTGTGTGTGTGTGTTTAACAATTTTGAGTCTGGACATAAAGTTTGTGTATATATGCTTAATGTTGTATAGACAGGATATTTAGTTGACTTAACTTGATTATTTTCCTTTAAGGTACCATCACTGAACGAAGTTCCCCTTCATTATTTGAAACCTAATAGTTTTGTGAAATTTCGTTGCATGATTCAGGATATGTTTGACCCTGAGTTTTACATGGGAGTTTATGAAACGGTTAACCAAAACACAAAAGCACATGTAAGTATTGCTGTTTTCATGAATTTGTGGTATTAATTTTGTCCTTGTACTGTTTGTGGTAGTTTTGGTTCTGATATATTGATATAATTCTGTTTTTCTATGTTTTGGGTCATAGGTTCTTCATTTTGGAAAATATAGAGATGTAGCAGAGTGTGGGGTATGTATCTTTAATATATATAAAACATTTTTAGTAAGAATTTTTTCCTAAACAGAGAATTTGTTTGTTTAGCTAATCTTAGATTTATCTTGTGTATAAGTTACAAGAAATCACGTGAAATGTTTTCCTTGTTTGACTTTATTTAGGAGTTTGATGTGACTTTTTTTAATCCTCCAGAGATCTTTTAGGAGAAATACTGTTAATGCCAAAATTAATTCCTCTCTCCAATATCTGTATATAATATATGTAAAACAAAGTACCCTAGGGTGCAAAATTAAGTCTTTTTAATTCCTTCAAAGACAAAGCCAGTGGTAATTCCACTGTTTCTTTCATAGAAAACTGTCAGAATCAGCCTATAATACAGAAATTTAATGAAATACTCATTCCTAGGTAGCTCCAAGATGAGATTCAAAAGTCATATATTATTCCCTAGGAAAGGCATATTCTCTTTCATATATACTTAGAAAACTCTAAGAAGTGGAAAGGACCCAAGAGACATCAAGTTTGAGCCAAATACATACAAGCAAGGAGTTTTTGTTTGCTTTTCTCTCTAGGCCCAAAGTACCTTTTTCCTAGAATGAGTCTTTTATTTATGACTCTTGAGCAACATATGTACCAACTCTCTATTAGCCTTTGGTAGTATCACACATGGGCAGCCTCATTTATTTTATTGACCCATTTCCAGATGGTGGGATTACTGAGTTACATTAATACTCAGCTTTTTCTAGTATACAGTAATGTAATATGTTAGCCTAATGTGTTAGGGCTCCTTAAACGAGGAATACCGTAATCATTAATGTAGTTGATCCATTAAGCTGGGCACAGTATTTGTTTTATGGAAACACTCTAAAAGAAAAACAGACCTGAAGTTCATCATGTATAAGATTACATAAATCTGTCTTTCAAATGAGTTCATTACTCTAATTGTCAGAAGTTACATTTTTGTTTAATATAATCTTTGCAGTAACCTTCCAAATTAGGGCAGTTTTTCTGTCCAGATCTGCCTACTGAACTAGAATATTTAATTAGCAACAACTGTTATGAATTAGCAGACTGATATTGGGGTTTGATAAATCAGTTTCCTATGGTTTGGGTAAGCCAAGAGTTAGACTCCAAGAATATAAAAAGGCCTAGATAACCTCATAAAAGTAAGGTTCTAGATCCACAAAGCAGAGAACTAGACCCAGATTATAAGTCACTCCACAGAGGTCCCATTTTTCTGGATTTGAGGGAGGAAGTGTTTGATGACTGTATTTGAAGTGATTTTATATCAGTTTTCTTTGAAAAAGTGATAGTTTGGAATTAGTTACTTGTTAACTCTGTAAAATATTTGTTGTGGTGCTATGTGAAAATGTGGTTGCTAATTTTAAAATAAATTTTGTGGTGTTTTAAAATAAATTTTTTAAAATACTTTTTTATGTATATCACAGCCTCAACAAGAACTTGATTTAAACTCTCCACGAAATACCACTTTGGAAAGACAGACTTTCTATTGTGTTCCGGTGCCTGGGGAATCTGCGTGGGTAAAAGAAATATCCTTTATCTGAACTTTCTTATTGTGTTGATGGTTTCTAAAACCTTAACCTTTAATTATTCTTCCTTTGCAAAGCTTGGTTTTATTTCAATAAAATGTGTTTCATTTGTTCTAATTGAGAAAACCCGTAAAACAGGCTAAGTATTTGTCACCGAGGAATGCTAAAATTACAGTACATTTCTATAGTGAAATACTGTTAAAAAGATTGAGGTAATATTTTTTTTTTTTTTGAGATAGGAACTTACTGTCACCCAGGCTGGAGTGCAGTGGCACAAACATGGCTCACTGCTGCTTCAACCTCCTGGGTTCAAGCAATCCTCCTGCCTTAGCCTCCCAAGTAGCTGGGGACCACAAGCGTGTGCCACCATCCCTGGCGAATTTTTTGATTTCTTTTAGAAAGAGGGTTCACTTTGTTGCCCAGGCTGGTCTTGAACTCCTGGGCTCAAGTGATCCTCTCACCTCAGCCTCCCAAAGTGCAGGGATTATAAACGTGAGCTACCACACCCCACCTGAGGCACATTTAAAGGTACTGAAAAAATATAATACTTAAAGTAAAAAAATAGTTTAAAATTAGAATTCATTCTAACTTTCTTAAGGGAAAACGTGTTGGCTCTTTTGAGAGGGGATTGTAGAAACATTTCCTTTTTATTTACGATAGTAGTTTTTTAAGGCGTGGCCCACCTACACTGAAATGCACAGATTTTAAGGTAATGCACAGTGATTTGGATAAATGCATACACCCATATAATTTATACCCCAAAGTAAAGAACTTGTGCCTAAAAAATTCCTTTCTGCCTTTTTCTAGTCACTCCCTCCTCCCCTGCAAGCACAATCCTGAATTCTTTGACTATCACTTGGTTTTGCCTATTCTTGAATGACATCTAAATGGACTCATATAATATATAGTCTTTGGGTCTGACATCTTCTGTTTAACATCATGCATCTGAGAGTCATCCATGTTGTGCATATCAGTAGTTCTTTCTTTTTTTTTTTTTTTTGCTAAGTATTATTTGTTTATACAGTCTCCAATTGAGCATTTAGGTGGTTTACAGTTTTAAGCTGGGCATTTTCCTGTGAGACACATTTTAACATACTGCATCTCAGCTGTTTGTTGTTTATTCTTATTGTTTTGTTTTTGACGATGGAGTTTGCTCTCTGCCAGTCTGGAGTGCATGGCACTGATCTCAGCTCACTGCAACCTCCATCTCCTGGGTTTTAAGTGAGTCTCCTAGTCCTCAGCCTCACAAGTAGCTGGACTACAGAGCACGCCCCCATGCCAGCCAGTTTTTGTGTTTTAGTAGCAGACGGGTTTCACATGTGAGGATGGTCTCAATATCTGACCTCGTGATCTCGCCGCCTTGGCTCTAAAGTCGCTGGATTTAACAGGAGTGACTAATTCTGTTTTTTAACATACTTTGAGTCATGTGATAAATTTATCTTTCAAGGACGTGTTTTGAAGTCACTTTAGCCCGTTGTTGAATTATTGTACATAAAGCTTGTCACGAGTATTTGTCTTTTAATGTTCTGTGGGATATCTCAGCATTGATCTCTTTCATTCCCAATAGTTATCTGTTTTTCATTCAATTTTAATGTTTCCTGGCTTCCATCCATTTCGCTTTTATTTTTCTTTTTGGCGTTTGGTCTTTTAATGCTTTTTGTACTTTTTTTTGTTTTTTTTTTTTGTTTTTTTAAGATGGGGTCCTGCTGGCTCTGTCGCCCAGGCTGGGTGGGGTGCAAATTCGGCTCATGCAACCTCCGCGTGTCCAGGTTGCAGGCAGTGTCGCATCAGCTCACCAGTGCTGGGATTGCAGGCGCCTGCCACCCCGCCTGGCTAAGTTTTTTCGTATTTTTAGTAGAGATGGGGGGTTTCACTGTTGGACAGCTGGTCTTGAACTCTGACCTCGTGGTCACCTGCTTCAGCCTCGAAGTGCACGATCTAGCTTGTCAGACACCGTGGACGGGCACGACTATATTATATTTCTAGCTTATTAAGGGATATGATGGGCTACAGGGATATTATAGGAATTATACGATTATTTCTTGGAGAGTTTTCCTACTAAATTAGCCACTAAAGCTTTATATTTACACCCCCAAATACACTGGGCTTATAAGTATGCTACAGAGACTTTTCATTTTGTTGGTTACATTTACTTAAGTTAAGCATACATTCAAATATTTTCATAAAAAAAATATTCACCATTGGATTATCATTTATTACCTTTGACCATTTTAACAGCGGCTCTTATTGACACATCGTGTATACTCATATCATACGTGACTAATTTTTAGGATCATAGGAATATACACATCCATCCTTAGATTATAGAGCCCACCAACTACTATTTTTTGTTCCGAACAGTCATTGTGCTTTATATACATCAAGAAGCCAGAATTCTCTCTTTTTACTATTGGCATCACTTCCCTTAGCCCGATGTTATTATAAAAAAAAAATTTTTTTTTTTTTTTCTTAGAAGAGAGCAGAGTCCTGGCATCTGTCGCCGGAGCCTGGAGTGGCAGTGGTGCAGAATCTGCCGGCTCCACTGCAAGCCTCTGCTTCCTGGATTTGCAAGTGAATTCTCCCGGGCGGCCTCACATACAACAAAAGCTGGGGGGTTGCACCCGTGTTGTGCCAACCAATTGCCAGTTTTTTTGTGGTTTTCAGTAAGAAAAAAAGGTTTCACCGTGTTGCACAGGAATGGCCAAAGGGTCGTCCTGACATCCTGAATCCACCCACCCTAGACCACAACAGATTGAGGCCATGTAGACCACTGTGCCCTGCGGCCAGGCATTGTTTTTTTTTTTTAAACCCCTAAGCAGATCGTGTTGGACGAATTTCGTTCAGTTTCCTGTATATAACAATTGAAAAATGTCTCTTATTTGCACTTCATTTTGTTTATTTTAATTGTAATTTATTTTTTGATCAACACGGGTCTCTCCCTTTGTTGCCCAGGCCTGGTCTCAAAACCTCCTGAGCTGCCAAGTGGAATCTACGCCCGGCCTCAACGCTCCCCGATCAAGCACTACGGACTCATGATGTGATGTAACAAGGGCACCACGGACCACCACGCCTGCCACATCTTAAATTTATTTGGAGGGAACAATTTTTTAGGGGGATACAGAAAATAATATATTTATATGTTATTATTAAAAAAACAATAGCAGGCACAGTGGCTCTTCCTTATAATCCCAGCACTCGGAGCGCAGAGGCAGCGAGGGACACTTTTTTGAGGCCAGGAGTTTGAGAACCAACCGCTGGCGCAACAGAGCAAAACTCTGTCTGCTACAAAAAATACAAAAATTAGCCAGGCGGGTTGTTGGGCACCTGTGGTGCCCAGCTACTCCAGGGGCTTGAGAGCAGGAGGATCAGCCGGAACCCAGAAGAGCTGAGGTTGCGTGAGCTGAATTGACCACCTGTACTCCCACCCAGCGGCAACAGAAGGAGACTCTGTCTCATAAGAAAAGAAATGAAAAAAAAAGAGATGAGTTCTCACTATGTTGCCCAGGCTACTGTCAACCTCCTGGACTGAGCAATCCTACCTGAGCCTCCCAAAGTGCTGGGTTTACCGATGTTAGCCACTGCATCCACCTGGGATTTGTTAGGAGTGGTGCAGAACAGCCCTTGTGCGGTAGATCGTCCTTATTCATGAGGTCTACTATTTCTGGGTCTTACGCAAATGCCTGGGATGACTAGCAGGGTCCATTCTAGTATTATACTACTTCCAGAGTCTCCATTTAACTCTCTGCCAACTAGCAGCTGTTCTCTGCTAGACCTCAGGGAATCTTGACTTGTATATCCACAGTTTAGTGTTTTGTCAGAGATCCAAATGGAACCTTCTGGGTCTTTTATCTGTAACTACTTCCTTTCTAGTACTTCTTCGCAAATTCCAGTTGCTCCACTAGCCCTGAACTAGTGCTCTGTCTTCGCCACCCAGTAAGAACAGGGCCTCTACTGCTCTTTGTTGCAGTTTGGAGAATGTCTCCAGGAGAGAGTTGGGAGAATTTGGAGTTTACCTGCTGTGTTTCTCCTCATTCAAGGATCATAAGGTTATGCTCCCTGTTGTCCAGTGACTGAAAACGGTCGCTTCACATATTTTTTCCAGTTACATTGTTGTTTACAGCAAGGATAGCAGCATAAGGTTGATGTCTGTTACTCTCATGACCAAAACTAGAAGTCTAGCCTCCTTTTAAAAATGTATTTCCATTTTAACTGAATTGCCAAGCTAGTCATTTTTTATAAGTCATATAATTAGCAAAACATTTAAGATAGTCCTCAGTTTATGGTAGTCTTTTTCTTAACTTTCCGTTTAACGCCTATGTTAATGCAAACCAAGCTCGAGTCAGTCCCTCAACGTCCTACACTCCCAGTCGCCACAAGAGGAGTTATGAAGATGATGACGATATGGACCTACAGCCCAATAAACAGAAAGACCAACATGCAGGTGCCAGACAAGCAGGTAGTGTGTGCCAACAGATTTTCTCTAGACTTTGCTCTCTTAAGTGGATTGGTTTTCAGAGTGAATTGTTACATAATATGGCTCTATATTTAGGAGCTGGCAATTTGTCAGAGTTACGGACAGTGTTGAGAGTTTTTACAGTACCATTTGATCAGACTGTGCTTCGCAAATGAGCAATTAGGCATCACTTTGTGACAAGTGGCTGCTCTAATGTAGGTTTTTGGAGTCACAAGTGCCTATCTGGAAAGGTCTTTTCTATCTTCATATTTATTTTTTTCCTAATTCTTAAATAATACAGAAGCCTGGTACTTTACCCTAAAAATGAGTTATTTTTATCTGAAAACATGCTTTCTCATTTTGTTTTTGTTTGTTTGTGTTTTGAGACAGGATTTCACTCCCATCACCCAGGCTGGAGTGCAGTGGCATAATCGTGGCTTACTTGCAGCCTTGACCTCCTGGGCTCAAGTGATCCCCTGTCACTTCAACCTGCCTAGTAGCTAGGGCTATAGGCACATGCCACCACACGCAGCTAACTTTTTAAATTTTGTAGAGATGTAGAGGTGGGATCTCACTGTGTTACCCAGGCTGGTCTCAAACTCCTGGGCTCAAGTGATCCCTCTGTATCAGCCTCCCAAAGCCACTGGCATGACAGGCGTAAGCTACCACTCCCAACCAGTCTTAACTTTTATAAGCAGTGGATTTCTTTTTATGGCGGGTATATTAAATTTGTCTTTATTTTTCCTTTTATGTGCTATTCACTTCCCTTCGGCACCTTTAATCAGAAGGAAGATTAAAGGACAAGGAGGCAAAACAAATCAGTCTGGTCATTTACTATCTGCAAGATTGTGTAGAGAAGACAAATTGTTTTTTTTTTTTTTTTTTTTTTTTGGAGACGGAGTTTCACTCTAGTTGCCCCAGCTGGATTGCAATGGCACAATCTCGGCTCACTGCAAGCTCCGCCTCCTGGGTTCAAGCGATTCTCCTGCCTCAGCCTCCTGAGTAGCTGGAATTACAGGCATGCGCCACCACGCCCAGCTAATTTTGTATTTTTAGTAGAGAAGGGGTTTCTCCATGTTGGTCAGGCTGGTCTCGAACTCCTGATGTCAGATGATCAGCCCGCCTCGGCCTCCCAAAGTGCTGGGATTACAGGTGGGAGCCACCATGCCCGGCCAAGGCAAATTTAACAACTAGTGGTAAACAAGGATTTACTAATGCATTTTATTTACCCATATATCACTCTACTTTATAAATTGATATTTCCAAATTTTCTTAATGCTGAGATCTATTTTAATGTGTTTAAAATTAGAATGTTTTACTGTAAATACATATAAATGTCGTAGTATTCTTTTTCTGCACCGATCCCCAGAATATATTAAAATTAATGGTCTATCATCTAGCCTGGATGACATGGCAAAACCCCATCTCTATTAAAAATACAAAAATTAGCCAGGCATGGTGGCGGGTGCCTGTAATCCCAGCTATTCGGGAGGCTAAGACAGTAGAATCACTTGAACCCAGAGGGGCGGAGATTTCAGTGAGCTGAGATCATGCACTCCAGCCTGAGTGACAGAGACTCCATCTCAAATAAATATCATAGTAACTTATATATTGTAATATATTCGAGTATGTATTCCAGTCCAGGAAATATGTTAATTCTCTTATTTAAGCAGTTGATGCTACTTTTTATTTCTTACCATACTTGTTCGAATGTCTTAATGCAGGCTTTTTATGCGTTTGAGTTCTTTGTTTATATAAAGTAAAATTTGTTGGTGTTTAGTCAATCTTTTAGACTATACATATTTTTAAACTTTTTATTTTGACACAGTATCGATTTACATGCAGTTGTAAGAAATAATACAGAGAGGCTGGTCGCGGTGGCTCACACCCATAATCCCAGCCTTTCGGGAGGCCAAGGCAGACACATCACTTGAGGTCAGGATTTCCAGTCTGGCTAGCATGGTGAAACCCCATCTGTACTAAAAATACAGAAATTAGCTGGGTATGGTTGTGCATGCCTGTAATCCCAGCTACTTAGGAGGCTGAGGCAGGAGAATTGCTTGAACCCGGGAGGCGAAGGTTGCAGTGAGCCATGATCATGCCACCATGCTCCAGCCTGGGTGACAGGGTGAGACTCTGTCTGGGGAAAAAAAAAAAAAAAGAAATAATACAGAAAGATCTTGTATACCTTTTAGCCTCTACTTCCCCCAATGGTAACACCTTACATAATTATAGTAGAATATCATAACCAGGAAATGGACATTGATACAATCATTTTTTTCTTTTCTTTCTTTCTTTTTTTTCTTTTGTTTTTGAGCGGAGGTTTAGTTGCTCTGTCGGTCGCCCAGCTGGAGGTGCAGGCGGCAGTGTCTCAGCTGCTGCACCTCACGAACTCCAGGTTTCAAGCGATTCTTGCTGCCTCAGACCTCCAGAGTAGCTGGACTAGCAGGCGGCCCGCCACATGCCTGGCTAATGTTGTAGACATGACGGTTTCACACGTTGCCAAGAGTGTCATTGATATCTTGGACCTGTGTGATTCTCGCCTCGCGCCTACCCACAGTGCCTGATTCAGCGTGAGCCCCGGCACCCGCGACTACAACACATTTTTACAGGTACTTACTTGTGAAGAATTTAGTTCTTTGCGAGTTTTGTGGGTGTTTTTTGTTTTTGTTTTTGTTTTGTTTTGTGATGTGAGAGTCGATCGCTCTGTCGCCAGGCTGCAGTGCGAGTGGCGCGATTCGTCGCTGCCAAGCTCTCGCGTCCTGGGTTCACGCAATTTCCTGCAATCAGCTCGTGAGTAGCTGGGACTTCAGGCGCCCACCACACCAGCAATTTTTTGTATTTCGTTTTAGTAGGAGAGCATGCGGGTTTCCGTGGTTAGCCAGGGATGGTCTCGCATTCCTGGACCTCATGAATGGCCACCACCTCGGCCTCCCAAAGTGCTGGGATTACAGGCTTGAGCCACCGCGCCCGGCCCGTTCTTTGTAGTTTTATCACATAGGTAGATTCATGTGGCCACCACCACAGTTAGGTTCGGGAATATTTCAGTAGTTTGTCCCTTTTATTGCTGAGCGGTATTCCATGGTATGGCAGGCTATCATTTGATTCTCATGTTATCAGCCCTAAGGTGTAACTACTTCAGGAGTTGGGGTTATTCTTTTAATGACCTGTATGTCCCCAACAACTGGTTTGATTCCTTTTTTTTTTTTTTTTTTTTTTTTTTACAGAGTCTCGCTCTGCCGCCCAGGCTGGAGTGCAGTGGCGTGATCTTGGCTCACTGCAAGCTCCGCCTCCCAGGTTCACGCCATTCTCCTGCCTCAGCCTCCCGAGTAGCTGGGACTACAGGCGCCCGCCACCTCGCCCGGCTAGTTTTTTTGTATTTTTTAGTAGAGACGGGGTTTCACCGTGTCAGCCAGGATGGTCTCGATCTCCTGACCTCGTGATCCGCCCGTCTCGGCCTCCCAAAGTGCTGGGACTACAGGCTTGAGCCACCGCGCCCGGCCGGTTTGATTCTTGATACATACTGGATATTAGTAAGTATTTGGTAAATTAATTTATTGCTGTATGGTTTTATTCTGCTTAATTAATAGAAAAAGTATGTTCTACCAAGGAGTTTTGCTGTCGGTAGACCATGTATTCATTAAATCAAAGATGTCAAAGTAACCATATTGCAAATCAGCTTTTGAAACTGGTTATACATGAGATTTGATGGGAGGAATTTTTTGATACCTTTATAGTAAGGGAAAAAAATAAATTTTTAGATCTTCGTATTTATCTTTGTTCTCTTACAGATCAAACAAAAGACTTTGTTAGTATGTGCTGTTTCCTTAAAAACTGTAACAACTTGAACTTTGCAAGCTCAGAAGCATCACATATGTCAAACTTGAAAGGCACTTATGGAACATTCTTTTTCTCCAGGAGGGCTTAGAAATGACTAAGTGCAATGCTATCCTTTGAATTTAGGGAATGTTGGTGGTCTTCAATGGTGTGGAGAGCCAAAACGTTTGGAAACTGAAGCTTCTACTGGGCAACAGCTGAACTCTCTGAACTTCTCTTCTCCTTTTGATTTGAATTTTCCATTGCCAGGAGAGAAGGGCCCTGCGTGCCTTGTGAAGGTAATAAAACCTTTCTTAGGTCTGACATTGACATGTTATGTGTCTCAGAAAGTAGCTTAGTGTCTGAGCATTTGCATTCGTTTTCTTATGCTGGACTAGCTATAGCAAATCACTGCAAATTTAATAGCCTAAAGCAGCAAAAGTTTATCATCTTACAGGCTTTAGGTCAGAAATCCAACATGGTCTCACCGAGGTAAACTCCTTTGTATGTAGGAGTTGGACTATATTCCTTTCTTGGAGCCCCTAAGGGAGAATTTCCTTGGCTTGTGGCTCCTTCTTCCATATTCATAGCCAGCAACATTGCATTTGACCATTTTTTTCATGGTGACATCTCAACCGACCACAACCAGGAAAGGTTCCCTGGTTTTAAGAATCTGTGGATTACATGGGGCCCACCCAGTTAATCGAGGATAATCCCCCCCATTTCAAGGTTATTAATCACACCTCTGCACGTTCCTTTTGCATATAAGCTAACATATTCACAAGTTAAAAGAATCAAAGAACATCTTAAATGCAGAAGCAGAACAACTTTTAAATTATGTCTGTTCCCTTCCTGTATCATTTCTAACATATAATCTTCATTTTTGTCTTCTTCCTTCTCTCAGCAAAACCTATTTCTCACTTGTATTTAAAATAAAACAGAAGGAAGAAAACTTTTAATAGTTTGTTCTTCCATCTTACTTGTTCTAGTGTTTTGATGCTGATAAATGAGCAAGTGACAGAAGGTGTTAAAATGATTGTTAAGGATTTCCATCCTTTGTGCATTTTGGGTTTTCTTGTTTTGGGGGCAGGGGGATTTGTTTTGTTTTATTGAGGCAGTCTCACTCTGTTGTCCAGGCTGGTGTGCAGTGGCATGATCTCGGCTCACTGCAATCTACCTCTTGGGTTCAGGCGATTCTCGTGCCTCAGCCTCCTGAGTAGCTGAGATTACAGGCATGTGCCACCACACCCAGCTAGTTTTTTGTATTTTTCCTAGAGATGGGGTTTCACTATGTTGGCTAGGCTGGTCTCAAATTCCTGACCTCAAGTGATCCACCCACCTCAGCCTTCCAAAGTGCTGGGATTCCAGGGGTGACCACTACACTCAGATTCTCAGTGGTTTTAATTGAAATGATACTTCAGTCATATGGCACAGAGACCAAAATTACCACTTTTTTCCCTGCCATGCTTCTACCAGGTCTGTTCAGTAAATAAATGGCCTTGACGATTTCTAAAGTCCATCATGACAATTTTGAACGTTTTTTTTTTTTTAAATTGTGAAAAATCCATTCCAAGTTTTGTGTTAATCCAATGTTGCAGTTTATGAATAAATGCAAAGTTAATATCTTGTTTTTGTTTTTTCCTTTTCTTGATGTGGTTAATAGATTTTGAGATAGTGCACGTTTCTAGTTTTAACTGTCAGCCTTTGGGAAAAGCCCTTTTTTAATTTTAGAAAAAGACTTTTTTTTTTTGTAGTACTGTGGTATATTGAAAAGAGATATTAGTCTGGAAGTTAGGCATCCTGTGTTTTGGTTTTTCACTTATTTGCTAACTAGCAGAGTGACTCTTGGTCTCAATTTATAAAAATTTATAAAATAAAGGACTTGCTTTAAGGTCCATTTCCTGATCTAAAATTCTAAGATGTTAGTACTCCAAGACTAGTATCTTAAGCTTTGTGTCTGTTCTAACAGTATGATTTCATGTGGTCTCTTGTTAGGTTTATGAAGATTGGGATTGTTTCAAAGTAAATGACATTCTTGAGCTGTATGGCATACTGTCTGTGGATCCTGTGCTGAGTATACTGAATAACGATGAAAGGTGAGTCTGTGTGCTCTTTTTCTGGTCTCCTTTATTTTTATGTAATTTCAAGTTTTCGGGAAAGTTACAGGATGGTTTTGAAGAACTCCCTTCCCGGATGTACCAGTTGTAAACACATGCACCCCATGCGCTTTGTCATTCATTTGTGCTCTCTATGGATGCACACATTTTTCTGAAACACTTGAAAGTATGTTGCGGAAATCAAACCCTTTTACCCCAACTGCTTGTCAACATTTCCTAAGAGCACTGACTTTCTCATATGTAATCAGAGTACAGGTATCAAAACTAGGAAATTTGCCACAAATACACAATACACTAATCCACAATCTATACTTAATTTTACTAATTGTCTTAATCATGTTCTTTCTTACACTTCTCCCTTCCGCATCCCCCAGTCCAGGGTTCGGAAGCTCGCTTATTCTCTATTTCTACTGAGTTCATACTGTATTTCTGATTCCAGTTCAGCACCACAGGTGTTGTTCTACTTGTTCTCCTTTCTGTGTTAGTGTAACTCTTAAACTTGATTCCCATTTTTCACAATCTGTCATTTGCACATTTGTACAACATAGAGAAGGGAATTTCAGAATTGTTAACTCATACCTCTATAAAACATAAACCTAAATAACTAGAGTTCAATCTGAAATAGTCCTCAGCCTTTGTCTTTCATGGTCTTGCCACTTTTTTTTCCCCCTTAAACAACAGAAATATATGTCTTCCAGTAGTTCTGGAGACTGGGAAGTGCAAAATCAAGTTCCCAGCAGATGTGGTTTCTAGTGAGGGCCCACTTCTGGTTTGCAGATGGCTGTCTTCTCACGTGGTAGAGAGCAGGAAGCCTTGACGTTTTTGAAGAGTGTAAGCCAGTTACCAGTTACTTGTTTCCTCATGGTTAGACTCAATGTTGCGCATTTTTGGCAGGAATATTACAGAAGTGATGTATCCTCAGTATGTTAAAGCAGGAGGCATGCGATGTCAGTCTGTCCCGTTACTGGTGAGGTTAATTTTCATCAGTTGGTTAAGGTGTGTCTTCCAGATGTCTCTTCTCTAAAGTTACATTTCTCACTTAGTAATTGACAAGTAACTTGGAGGAAGATACTTTGGGACGTAAATATCCAGTTTCTCATTAAACTTTCACCAATTTATTTTAGCATTAATTGATGATTCTTGCTTGAATCAGTTATTACAACGTTGGCAATTCTCTAACTCAGTACATTTATTTATTGGCATTCTACTATAAAAGATATCTCTTCCATTTGTTTATTCAAGTAATTTATTTACTTATATTTAGTATGGACTAATAGATTCTGATTTTATTCAATGTTAATATCATTATATTATTTTGAGACCCAAGTTTTCCCAGATGTGGCTAGCGGGAGCCACTTTGAGCAGGTGCTGGGTCCTTTTTTTGAGTTGATCTTATTATTTTTTAACATTTATTTTCTGGCATATTAAGCTGTTGCAGCTTCATCATATACTTTGAAGATCTGAGTCCTAGATGTGCTCGTTGGTACTGGGTTAGCTTTGCATCTAGGCCCTTAAAGCAGACAGAGCTAGGATATATGCAACATATGTATACATATATATGCATACACATTTAAATGCACACATATATACTCACACATGCATGTTTTGTGTATTTCTAACATCTATGAGAAACCATGGGTTCATATTTCTGATTCCAGTTCAGCACAGCAGGAGTCACATGTTCTAGTTGGTCTCCTTTCTATGTTTATGACTTCCTTTTCTAACAAATTTGATTCCCATTATTCACAATCTGTCGTTTCCCCATTTCTGCCATATACAGAGGGGAATTTCAGAATTGGTAAACCATACCACTACAAAACAAACTAGTAATTAGTGTTCAGTACGTTTCCAGTTCATTTTTTTTTTAGAATGCAGCTGTGTAGTCAGAGCTGTGTTCCAGTTACTCAGGTAACTTTTCTTCCCCTTCAGTGTGATTTCATTATTTATTCTACTTAGATTCATTTATGTCTGATTATGTTTCACTTCAGTTTTTCCTCCATCCTTATTTTTTTCTTTTTAATATAGGAAACATTAACATCGTTGCCAAATTCAAACTACACAAAAAGATTCTCAGAGGTGTGGTTCTGAGCTATCCCCATTCCTGCTGTCTGTTTCCACCCAGCCTCCTTAGGGAACCATAGTTTCTGGTTTATCCTTCCTGTATTTTTTTTTACACAAAAATAAGTAGATAAGTATACATTTTATTTCTACTTTTTTCTTCTATAAAAGGTAGCATAGTATATGTACTCTTTTACACTTTTAAATTTTTTTTATTAACAACATATCTTGGAAATGTAGATCTTCCTCATTCTTTTTTGTTTTGCTTTGAGACTGCCAAAAGCAAGGGCTAATGTCCCTCATCTACACCAGAGTCCTCTTGTTGAATAGTGGACATTCATCATCTTACATCTTAGTTTCTGTGTAAGATGAACTTAACATTTTTCACAGTTAAAAAAAAAAAGGTACAAAACAAAAATTTTAAACAACTTTAAGCTTAACCATCCCTTAATAATAGTGTATGAGATTGTTCATCTTGGCAATTTCTGATTATGATGACTTTCCTGCTTTAGTTACTTCACTATTGTTGCAGTTTAGTTTAGAGGTTGTATTAGTCAGGGTTCTCTAAAGGGTCAGAACTGATAGGATAGATGAATATATGAAGGGGAGTTTATTAGGAGAATTGACTCACACGATCACAAAGTAAAGTCCCACAATAGGCCGTCTGCAAGCTGAGGAGCAACGAAGCCAGTCTGAGTCCCAAAACCTCAAAAGTAGGGAAGCCGATAGTGCAGGCTTCAGTCCATGGCTGAAGGCCTAAGAGGCCCTGGTGAACCACTGGTGTAGGTCCAAGAGTCCAAAAGCTGAAGAGCTTGCAAGTCTGATGTTTGAGGGCCGGAAGTATCCAGCATGAGAGAAAGATGGAGGCCAGAAGACTCAACCAGTCTGCTCTTTCCATGCCTGCCTTTATGCTGGCAGTTGATTAGATGGTGCCCACCCAGACTGAGGGTGGGTCTGCCCCTCCAGTCCACTGACTCAAATGTTAATCTCCTTTGGCAACACCCTCACAGACACACCCAGGAACAATACTTTGCATCCTTCAATCCAGTCAGATTGACACTCAGTATTAACCATCACAGAGGTTAAGAGCACAGACAGGCAGACAGCCTGGGTTGGAGTCCTGACTTGGCCACTTACTAGCTGTGTGACCTTGGGCTTGGTTTGCTCGTTGTAAATCAGGGTAGATGGGAGGTTTTGGTGAATTTGTACGTGTAAAGCATTGAACATTGTCTGTCACATGGTATATACTATGGAAAAGGTATGCTTGTATTAAAATATACAGGAGTATGAATTTATTACTTCAGTGTCTATAGAATCTATAAAGTCAAGATCTAAAAGCATTTTAGCCATTTGTTTCATTCGTCTCACAAATCTATCTGCAAATTTATTTAGCAAATCTGAAAAATTCATAACTTTCAATTGCTTGTCTATTCAGTATTCGAGGGATCATGTAAGAATAAAATTTAGGAAATACAATTAGCAAGATAGGAGATGAATGGATTCTCCACACACTAATAGATACCGGATGGCTTTTAAGAAAAAGACCCCAGTTTTTGAGATCTGCTGTCAAGTATTCAATGTCTCAGCCAATAGTTCAAGGAGTACTTGTGTTTTGAAATAGCCTTATGAGTGACATCCTACATTCCATTTATTGAAGTGCTGAATAAAAAATATTATTGTTCCTGGCCAGGCACGGTGACTCACGCCTGTAATCCCAGCACTTTGGGAGGCCAAGGCAGGCAGATCACTTGAGGTCAGGAGTTCAAGACCAGCCTGGCCAACATAGCAAAACCCTGTCTCTACTAAAAATACAAAAATTAGCCAGGCTTGGTGGCGCACACCTGTAATCTCAGCTACTCAGGAGGCTGAGGCACGAGAGTTGCTTGAACGCAGGAGGCAGAGGTTGCAATGAACTGAGATCGCACCACTGCGCTCCAGCCTGGGCAACACAGTGAGACTCCAAAAAAAAAAAAAAAAAAATACCGTTCTTGAAAAATGTATTTGTTTTCTGATTTTAAAATTAGTGTAGATCTTTGACAGGTTACAAGAACAAAGCCTGAAGTCTGTGTGATGTTAACACTTCAGAATGAGAGGCCACTTTCTGTTCTTTAAGGAGATGTACAGGTGGAAATATTCTTGGCTTGGACTGTAATTTTGTTTTCTAAGGTGCGTATCATTTTTGCATCTGTGCAATTGATGTCTCTCTAAATTGAAACTTTATCGTCTCTCCACAGGGATGCCTCTGCACTGCTGGATCCGATGGAGTGCACAGACACAGCAGAGGAGCAGAGAGTACACAGTCCTCCTGCTTCATTAGTGCCGAGAATTCATGTGATCTTAGCCCAGAAGTTGCAACACATCAACCCGTTATTGCCTGCCTGCCTTAACAAAGAGGAGAGCAAAACCTGTAAGTGTAAGTGTTACAGCCTAGTGAACTATCGACTGTTAGCCTCAGTGTGTGTCCAGAGCTGCCTGTAACGTGCTCATAGTGGAATTGAGAGTCAGGTCTTCATTCCTCACAATAAGTGTTTTCAGTAATCTCTCTCTCATTGCCCCATTTTTCTCTTACATTAATTCTCTTCATTGAAATGAGGACAAAAAAGTATACAAGGCTGGGTGCAGTGGCTCACGCCTGCAATCTCAGCACTTTGGGAGGCCGAGGTGTGTGGATCACCTGAGGTCAGGAGTTCGAGACCAGCCTGGCCAATATAGTGAAACCCCATCTCTACTAAAAATACAAAATTAGCCAGGTGTGGTGGCATGTGCCTGTAATCCCAGCTACTCAGAAGGCTGAGGCAGGAGAATCACTTGAACCAGAGGCAGTGGTTGCAGTCAGCAGAGATGGCGCCATTGCACTCCAGGCTGGGCAAAAAAGAACAAAACTCAGTCTCAAAAGAAAAAAAAAAAAAGAGGATGCAAACTTTTATTTTTAAGATTAGCGTCACTTTACTGATATGTTAAACTTTACTTACTGTCTACTGAATTGTTGCGCTTTGCCCACAGTTTTCACCTAAGACACTTGAGAGGAATTGGTGTGTGTGTCCTGACTCAGGTCTCCTTTTCTCCTTCAGTTGTTTCAACTTTCATGTCCGAATTGTCTCCAGTCAGAGCAGAACTTCTTGGGTTCCTCACTCATGCCCTTCTAGGGGATAGTTTGGCTGCTGAATACCTTATATTACATCTCATCTCCACAGTGTAAGTGCTGTATCCTGGTGGGAATTAGGGGAGTCTGGTGTGTGTAGAAGTGGAAGAGCGGGAATATTGCTGGTGTAATTTGTGTATTTTCCTTATTGGGCTTCATCAGATGGTTTTTATCTGTTCAGCGTAACAACTGTTAAACCAAATCACAGACAAATTCCTTTTCTTACAGTTTCACATTTAACATTTTGATTATGTCCCCTTAAATTTTAGAGCCAAAATCAGATACAGCAGTAGTCCCCAACCTTTTTGGCACCAAGGACCCGTTTCACGGAAGACCATTTTTCCATGGACCAGAGCGGGGATGGCTTCAGGATGAAACTGTTCCACCTCAGATCATCAGGCATTAGTTAGATTCTCATAAGGAATACACAAATGTGCAGTTCACAGTAGGGTTCGCACTCCTGTGAGAGTCTGATGTCGCTGCTGATCTGACAGGAGACGGAACTTAGGCAGCAATGCCTGTTCGCCCACCCCTCACCTCCTGCGTTGTGGCGCGGTTCCTAACGGGTCCTGGTCCACGGCCTGGGCGTGGGGGACCCCTGAGATAAAGGAACTGGCTGATGAGTAAAATGAGCTGTTTTATCCTTTTTGCATTCTGAACACTCTGTTTATACATCCCAAGGCACGACGTCACGTGCACATTTAACGTGGACATTGACACTGGCACCGCATCCCTTGACTCCACTGTATTTGTTTTCTGATTTTAAAATTAGTGTAGACCTTTGACAGGTTACAAGAACATAAAAAGGAAAATGCACATCATTTGTAATTTCACCACTTAGAACCTCTGTTATCCTTTTGGTACACGTTCATTGGTTTTTGTTTACATACGTATACATCCCTGCATAGATCTTAGTTACACTCTAAGCACAGATCCGTGTCTTGTTTTCAGCAGTTGATATATATTAAACATTTTCCCATCATAATGCTTCATGAACTTTGTAGTGGCTGCAAAGTATTTCACTATGCAGTTGTACCATACTGTAACCATTTCCCTAAATGTTAGGTTTTCCTAGCTTTTCTCTATTACAAAGTTGCAGGAAGGAAACATCTTTGTGCTGTAAATCTTATCTTTTCTCAGATCAGTCTCTGACAGTAGTACATAATGGTTGAGAGCACTGACTCTGTAACCAAACTATCCGGATTCATATCCCAGTTCTGGCAGCTTCCAGCTAGATGAGTATGTTGCTTATTATCATCTCTGTGCCTCAGATTTCTCATCTATAAAGCAAAGACAACAGTACCTACCTCTGAATGGTTAGGGGTTAAATGAGGAAGCATTTACGTACTCAGAACAGTCTTTGGCACATGACCAGCAGCACTTACATACAAATATTGGCTATTACTTTTATTGCTGTTATTCTGATAAAATAACTAGTCAGAATATTCTGGTTTATTTTTAATGACAATATTAAGCTAATTTTTCTACTCTTTGCTTTTCGATAGAAATCAGGAAATCACTTCAGCATCTTATTGATTGATTTCTTTCTTTTCTAGATATACAAGAAGAGATGTCCTTCCACTAGGAAAATTTACGGTTAATTTGAGTGGTTGCCCACGGAATAGTACCTTCACGGAACACTTGTATCGAATTATTCAACATCTTGTTCCAGCAGTAAGATGAATATAAATATGTATTATAAACCTAAGCACACTTAACAAATCCGTCTATCTAACTGTCTTTCATTCACCTCAAATATTTAACTTAGAGTTTTTAATAGAGCTTATTTAAGGGGAAACAAAGCTTGCCAAGTTACGTAATTTAAAATGTACTTTCCCCTAAACGTTTCACTTTTTTTTTCTTTTTGCCTAAGCACAAATTTCTGTAAGTCTAACAATTAACACAATTGCAGTAACTCCCTTAAAATTATACTCTGTTGATACCAATTTGTCCAATTTGGTATCCTTTTCGTACACTAAAGTCTTAAATCCAAATAAACTCTAAATTATAGGAGCATAATTCTTTTAGTTGAGGTAATAAAGTTCTTTATCTCCGTTGCCTCAATTTTAATTCCTGTTTGGAAAGTTGAGCTCACTTTATTTGCCAGGGTATTTGGAATGCAGCATTTGTGTGGTGGTAGGATCTTGGGAACGGGAATTGCTTCTGATCAGTTGTGTGACTGAAAATACTGATCACTTCTTTGGAAATTGAAGAGGGTGCACTAGATCCTTATTAAACCAAATGTATTGAGTGTCTCAGTGCTAGCACTTGTCCAGGCCCTCAAGAAGCAGAAGTGGACCAGAATACACCAGCAGTTCTCAGTCTCCTTAGACTCACTTTATACTCTGAAAAATGTATTAGTACTCAAAGAGCTGTTTTTCATGTTATGATTATATTTATCATTAATTTACCAAACTAGATGATGAAGCAAATACATCTATTAAAGATAAAAAATTACGTATAAATATTTTTATAAAAACAACTTTTCCCAAGCCAAAAATGATTAGTGATGAAAGTGACATTGTTTTACATTCTTGCAAATCTGGATTAGTAGGATACAATGGATGCTTGTATCTGCTTCGGCCTTCAGTCTGTTGTAATCTCAGGTTTTGACTGAAGTATGTGAAGGAAAGCTGACCTCACACAGATGGAAAAGTAGTTGGTAAAGGAAGGATGGTTTCGATAGCCTTTGCAGATAACTGGGTGGTGGTCTTTGATACTAGACCAAAACTGTCCACATGACATCTTCTTAAAGATAGTTAAGTGTGGAATCTGAAATCCTATTCGTAAACTTTCTATAGTCTGCTATGGTAAAATTCATTAGTCTCATATATTGAAAGGATCTTTTATCCATGCATGATTTTAACCTGATTGACCCCGTAAAAGGGTTTAAGCAATTCCCTGGGAGTTCTTGGGACCACATTTTGAGAATTATTGAAACAGTCAGATCCTTTGCCCTCACAGAGTTTAATTTAGGTAGAAGACCAACAAACAAATAAATATATGGTAGGTCATTTAAGCACCCCTAAGCTCCCCTTGTTTTCTCAGAATCACTGAGGTAACAAAACTCCTCTAAATTTTTGCAATATATCTTACCTCTTCCTTGACAGCGTTCTCCCACCATACGCTCTTCTCCATCCCTGCCACATTGTTGCAGGCTGGAGGGGTGGAAGAATGGATTGGTGTATAAGGCAGAGCACAGAGGGTGTTGGGAATGGTGGCTCAGGAGCTGGAGGAGGAGCGTAGATGGGTCGCTTTCTCGTTACACTGAGCGAGAAGGTGCACGCATCCTGGAGGCACCTCCCGAGAGCTGCAGCAGGTGCCCCCACAGCTCAGTGTGCTCTGCTCCTTGATTTTTCTCTGAAAAGTTTGTTCAGAAGTGTCTATGATGAATGAATATAATTTTAACTCAAAGAATATAGAGGAAAATTAAGCTTTTCTTTCCCTGTCTTGAAAAATAAAATTAACATTTTCTTTTTGCTAGCTAGCATGTGTTAGGTGAAAGAGGTTAGGCTTTGGGGTATTTAATATTTGTATGTCAGTTATCTACCATTTGTTTCATTGGTTAAATAAAAATTTATTTTCTTTTTATTTATTTATTTATTTGAGACGGAGTCTCGCTCTGTTTCCCAGGCTGGAGTGCAGGCCAGATCTCAGCTCACTGCAGGCCTCCTGGTTTATGTCATTCTCCTGCCTCAACCTCCCGAGTAGCTGGGACTACAGGTGCCCGCCACCTTGCCCGGCTAATTTTTTTGTATTTTAGTAGAGACGAGGTTTCACCGTGTTAGCCTGGATGGTCTCGATCTCCTGACCTCGTGATCCGCTCGTCTCAGCCTCCCAAAGTGCTGGGATTACAGGCTTGAGCCATCACGCCTAGCCAAAAAAAAAATTGATTTTCAAGAATATTGAACAAGACATTTGAAAATAAAGCAGCTCATAGAATGGATGAAATTCAAATGTAAGATCTAGATACTATTTTTGCTTCTAGAGTTCGAGAAACCATATCACTGCTCCCTTAGAAATTTATAAGATCACTTTTTCCATATGAAACACAGTGCTTAATTCCAAGTACATATTTTCTTAAAACAGGGAAACTTAAATTCTTGTTCACTAAAAAATTTCTCTTTGCAGTCTTTTCGTCTACAGATGACTATAGAGAACATGAACCATTTGAAATTCATTCCCCACAAAGACTACACAGCCAATCGCTTGGTCAGTGGGCTCCTCCAGCTGCCCAGCAATACTTCCCTTGTAATCGATGAGACTCTCCTGGAACAGGGGCAGCTGGATACCCCAGGTACGTACATAGATGTTTCCCTTCCATTTCTGACTTCCTTTCCACTAAAGCCAGATCTAGGAGTAACTTTTAGAAGAGTATCTATGGACAAAGACAAATTCACATTTAACAAATAACATAAGATAAAGGCTTGGCATATGAATTTGATTAAAGCATGTTATAAACTAATTAAATTGTATATACCAACTCTGTTTTGCCATAGTAGTCTGAAAGTAGTACAGTAGAACAGATACTATATATATAAAATGTATCATATATCTTCTAATATATATTTTATATATTATTTATAATGGAGCAATAATATAAAGGGTAGTATTAATATAATGGAGTACAATAGAACAGATACTATATATATTATGTATCATATCTTCTAATATGTTATATATTTTATATATAATACATATTTATAGGTTTTATATTTATAATTTATAATATGAATAATATATAACATGGAGCAATAATATATAAAATATATATAAATATGTAATAATATAAAAATAATATATAATTGTGTATTTTATATATTATAATGGAGCAATAATATAAAGGGTAGTATTAATATAAAGGAGCAGTAATATAAAGGGTAGTATTAGATGTTGAGGGTCATAAGGGTTCTTTGGTGAAAAGTTCTATTGCGTCAGCAGATGGTTGGAGCCATCTGTATGGGCCTACAATGTTAGGTTCTTTGTGTAGTTGTATATAACCTAAAATTTTTCATTCAGTGAGTGTAAGGAACGGTAGACACAGGGTCTCACTATGTTGCCCAGCTGATCTTGAATTCCTGGGCTCAAGTGATCCTCCTGCCTTGGCCTCCCACAGTGCTGGGATTATAGGTGTGAGCCACTGCACCTGCCCCAAATAGCGTTTTAAAAAACTGAAATGGGAGGAAGCTGATCTAACAGATTTTTTTTTTTTTTGGAGACAGACTCTTGCCCTGTTGCCCAGGCTGGAGTGCAGTGGCATAATCTCGGCTCACTGCAAGCTCCAACTCCCAGGTTCATGCTGTTCTGCCTTAGCCTCCCGAGTAGCTGGGACTACAGGCGCCCGCCACCATGCCTGGCTAATTATTTTTTAACCTCCCATTGTAAAGTTTTTAAACGTTTTTCAGAGAATGTCTGAAAAATAATCAAATGGTTTGCACTAACCTCAGTTATGGAATATATTATAAAATCACAAGAAGCAGATTGTTTACTAGTGCTCAAATGAAGACAACTAAGAATATACTGCTGGTGATCAGCTCAAGAGGTAAAGGTAGAAGAAAAAAATGAGGTAGACTGGGCACGTTTAAGGCAAAGGGGAATATAAAATCTGTAAAATTCACTAGGCTGATCTATGTATGAAGGTAGTTTTAGTGTTTCCTTATTTTAGCCCTGTAAATACACCACTTAGAAATAACCGTGCTTGCTTGGGAACTATTTTATGTCTAGGTGCATACCAGATGCTAGGTATTAGATTTGTGGGGGGATCCCCTGGCCCCATAAAGTTCTACCTTGACGAAGAGTATTGTAAGCCTACACACTTAGTGATGTTTAGCTTAGTAAATTGGACAGCGCCTCATACCCTTTATTAAAAGCGGTAGAAACTTCATGGCTCATCATTGGTGTCAGCAAAACTGATTTGTTGAGATGATTAAAGTCAAATGACTGAAAGTGTTTTCCTGCCTTCGTAGGTGTTCATAATGTAACTGCCCTGAGCAACCTCATAACGTGGCAGAAGGTGGATTATGACTTCAGCTACCATCAGATGGAATTCCCCTGCAATATCAACGTTCTCATTACTTCGGAGGGGAGGTCACTCCTCCCGGTACAATGAGTCATTTTTAAATGGAGGGAGGTTGACATGGGAAAAATACCTACGTTTTTGCTGTTTCTTGGTACCGCTTATTAATAAGTTACATTTGTTGTAAAAAAACTGTGACTGCTGATCATTAAGGGAACTGAGTATTTTGCACTGCCATGGATGAAAACCTTACATCTGCCAAGCTCAGATATCAGCAAGTCACGAGACCAGCAAGGCTGTTGGCAGCAGAAACACCCACATCAAAGCATAGCAAGATTGCCTGATTTTAACCTCCAGACTTCTGTTCTTGCTGCCTTTGACCCATTGTTTTCTGCTAATCTTATGTGAAAAATATTTTAGAGTTCCTTTGAAAATGTCCTTGGTTACTTGGTAGTTATTTTCATGTTTTACAGTGAAATGCTCTGTTATGTCCTCAGAGCGGCTGGTAAAGAGCGCTTTTAATTCTAAGGAGGATGGGAAATGCTCCCGGTTGTCAAATGGTTTATGGTCTCTGTATAATAGTATTCACCTGTGATTGATGAGAAACAGTCTTTGATAAGAATGAAATGGCTCAAGGATATGTTCTCTGTGTGCAAGTGTGATAGACCTTTTTAATTAGCTGCTTTTTAGAGGTTGGCTACATTTTTGTGTGCTTACTGATACCATTGAAGTAACCAAGAAAAAGCTAACTTTCATAATTATTTCTGAGGTAGTTATAAAGCATGTAAAGTAATACTAAAAATAGATTCTCACTGGGTGCAGTGGCTCACACCTGTAATCCTAACACTTTGGGAGGCCAAGGCAGGTGGATTGTGTGAGCCCAGAACTTTGAGGCCAGCCTGGACAATGTGACAAAACTTGTCTCTACAAAAAATTCAAAAATTAGCCAGGCGTGGTGGCATGCACCTGTGGTGCCACTACTAAGGAGGCTGAGGTGGGAGGATCGCTTGAGCCTGGGAGGCAGGTTGCAGTGAGCTGTGATCACACCACTGCACTCCAGCCTGGGCGACTGAGCAAAACTCTGTCTTGCACACATACAAAAAAAAAAAATTATTCCCTCCCCCTAAATAATAAATGGTATTTTCTAATTCCTGTAGGGGCTGACAGGGATGATGCATCTTTCTTTAAAAATGTAGATTTAATTTAGGAACTCAGAAAATACAGTGTACTTCTTCTCTTTTCAGGCAGACTGCCAGATTCACTTACAGCCCCAGCTAATTCCACCAAACATGGAAGAATACATGAACAGCCTTCTCTCAGCGGTGCTGCCTTCCGTGCTGAACAAATTCCGCATTTATCTAACCCTTTTGAGATTCTTGGAATATAGCATATCTGATGAAATAACCAAGGTATGTCTAGGTTAAAATAAAGGATTTCCCTGTGTTGAATTGCAGTATGCAGCCAATTTACATTTACCATAATTACTGATGAGGTGATTTTGCTATTTGTTTTCTGTCATGTCTTTTTTTATTACTCTATTACTCCATTTTTGTCTTTTTGTTTGAAATAGATATTTTCCAGTGTCCCATTTTAATCCCTTGAAGTTACTTTCTTAGTGGCTGCCCCAGGGGGATAAACTTAACATGTTAGTATAATCATCTATTAAGGATTAATGCCAGTTTGTTTAGTTATTTTTAATTTAAAAAAATTTGTGTGGCTAATGCCAGTTTAATTATAATATACAAAGACTTTGCCCCTTTATAATTCCGTCCTTCTCCTCTCCCTTGTGCTGCTGTCATACAATTACCTCTCTATACATTGTATGTACATCAACACATTTAGAATTACTGCTTTTGCAGTTGTCTAATTTTAGAGAAAAAAGAAACGGAGAAGACTTCTGTACTATTTTTTCTATTTGCCTATGCAGTCACTTTTACCAGCAACCTTTCCTCATGTGGGTTCATGTTACTACCTAGTATCTTTTCATTTCAGCTCGAAGAACTGCCTTTAGTGTTTCTTGCATGGCAGGTCTACTTGTGCAAAATTTTTTTTTTTTTTTTTTTTTGAGATTTTTTTGAGACAGAGTCTCGCTCTGTCGCCCAGGCTAGAGTGCAGTGTTGTGATCGTGGCTCATTGCAGCCTCAACCCCCCCAGGCTCAAGCGATCCTCCCACTTCAGCCTCCTGAGTAGTTGGGACTACAGGCATGTGCCACTGTGCCCAGCTAATTCTTTGATGTGTGTGTGGAGATAGGGGTCTCCTTGTGTTGCCCAGGCTAGTCTCGGACTCCTGGGTTCAGCTAATTCTTTGTGGGGAGGGGGGTGTGTGGAGATAGGGGGCTCCTTGTGTTGCCCAGGCTAGTCTCGGACTCCTGGGTTCAAGTGATCCTCTGTCCTTGGCCTCCCAAAATTCTGAGATTAGAGGTGTGAGTGACCACGCCCAGGCCTCTTTTAAGTTTTTGTTTATCTGGGAATGTCTTAATTTCTCCTTAAGGCTAGTTTTGCTGGATGTAGAATTCTTGGTTTATAGTCTGTCTCATCATTTCGAGTATGAGCTCCCACCACTTTCTGGCCTCTTGTTTCTACTGAGAAGCCAGCTAGTTTCTGATGAGGATCCTTTGTACACACTGAGTCATTTTTCTGTCACTGCTTTCAAGATTCTCTGGCTTTTGACAGTTTTGACTATGATGTGTCTGTGTGTAGATCTCTGAGTTTATCCTACGTGGAGTTTGTTGAGCTTCTTGGAGGTGCAGAATAATTCACATTTTGGGGAAGTTTTCAACAAATTTGGGAAGGTTTTGGCCATGTTTCTTTCTGCATCATTTCTCTCTCCTCTCCCTCTGACACCCCCACTATGTATCTGATGGTGCATTTAATGGTATCCCACAGGTCTTCAAGCCTCTGTTCATTTTTCCTCATTCTTCTTTTTTTGTTCTTAGACTAATCTCAGTGAACTTATCTTCAAGTTTAGTGATTTTCTTCTGCCTGGTCAAATCTGAGTACCTCTAGAGAATTTTTACTATGTTTTTCAACTCCAGAATTTTTATTTCCTTCTAAAAAATTATTTCTCTCTTTTTATTGATACTATTTGGTGATTCTCATATTTTCCTGAAGTTCTTTTTATGTGGTTTCCTTTAGTTCTTTGAATGTTTAAAATAGCCAACGTAGAGTCTTTTTGTCTGATGTTTGAGTTTCCTCTGGGACAGTTTGTACTGACTCCCTTATCCCCAAAGTGTGAGCCATACCTTCTGGTTTCTTTGTACCTTTTTGTTGAAAACCAGACATTTTATTTGGTCAGTGGGGTCTCAGTCTGTCACCCAGGCTGGAATAGTAAGTAGCACAACCACAGCTACACTGCCACCTTAAACTCCTGGGCTCAAGTGATCCTCTTGCCTCAGTAGCTGGGATCATAAGTGTGCGCCACCATGCCCAAATAAAGTTTTTTGTTTTTGTGTTTTCTTTTTTTTGTAGTGATGAGGTATTGCTTTATTACCCAGGCTGATCAACTCCTGGCTTCAAGTAGTCCTCCCACCTTGGCCTCCCAGTGTGTTGGGATTACAGGTGTGAGCCACCACACCTAGCCACAACCAGACATTTTAAATTATATATTATGACAACTCTGCTTGGGAAGTTAGACTCTGGAAATTAAACCTCCCTAGGGTTTATTGTTGTTGCTATTTGTTACTGTTGGTAGGTTGTTTAGTAACTTTTTTGACTAATCCTATAAAGTCTGTATCTTTGTCACATGTGGGCACTGAAGTCTCTGCTCTGTTAGTTTTGTGGTTAATGATTGGAAAGAAATTTCCTTAAATGCCAGGAAGTAGTTAGTCTCTCAGTCTAAGGGTGAATAATAATCATAAATAAAAATAAAAGTTGGGGCAACCCTTCAACACTTAGCCATACAATTTACAAGCCTGCCTTAGCCTTCATTTCCTGCTCACACAGAGCCTCCAGGTTATCCAGAGGTGGGAGTTTAAGGTCTCTGAGCATGTCTGCAGCCTTCCGAGTTCCTAGGAGTTATATACGTGAGGTTTTCAGAGCCCTCTGTGGACATCTGCTTTCCCAGTTAGCTTTTCTGTTTAAGGGTTTGGGTTAGTCTGTTGTTTGCCACAACTGTTACCCAGTGTCTCAGGTAGCTAAGCTAAGATTGATAATTTCTTCTGATTGTTTTTGATAAATGCCCTGGGGAAAGAGGTGGTTCATAGTAGACAGGCTTCCAGTCACTTTAAATAAAGACAACCTTGCAAATGGGTCCTTCCAGGGAGCCACCAGACAGGTGGTCAGATGACAGTTCTCCAGGAATGGCACTTTGAAGGAGCCCTAGCCCTGTTCTCTCTCCGGTGGCTGCCAGGCTGTTGGTTTTTGAAGAAGCTATTAATTACCGCCTGGAGGGGAAGGGGTTGGAATATAGGAGTAGGACATGTTAAAATGCCGCAAGGCTCAACATTCTTACCAGTAATCACCTGGTTTTCTGGCATAAATGCTCTCTGGATTGCTGTAAGTGTGGTTTTGTTTCTAGTTTTTAAGAAGCTGATTTTGATCAGTGTTAACAGTAGAGACAGTTTTCTGCAGTCCCTTCTCTGCCATTTTCACTAACATCACTCCCCCTTTGTTGAAAAGCGTTCCTATGCCAGTTGCTGATTTGTATGTTTGCTTGACCTTAAATGAATCTGAGTTTCATTATTTTCTTTTCATCAGCAGCATTATTTATGTATATGCTTTGGTACTTTCACCTATATTGCCTCCTTTGTCTAAAAGGCTGACATCCACCTTATTATATCAGTCAAGGAACCATGTTCATTTTGTCTTCCTTACAAAAATGCACATCATTTCCATTTACTCTCTTGATAAAGGCAGTTGAAGATGACTTTGTGGAAATGCGGAAGAATGACCCTCAGAGCATCACTGCTGATGATCTTCACCAGCTGCTCGTGGTGGCTCGGTGAGTGGCACGTGTGCATCGTTTTCTCAGTAAGCTTGTGTATATAAGTCTTCTGAGTTATTCAGCAGTAACTGAGGCAGACTTCTAAAAACGGAAATGAACTTTTCCTTTCAAAAACGCTGTTATGAAAGGGCTCATTGAGGGGGAGTCGAGTTTGGCTGGTGATCTCTTCAGTGGAACAGGCGTGCTGCTTGTTCTCTAAGCTTCAAAGAGCGAGCCACCCTCTAGTTCTGACTCTTCAACACTTTCTTTGTAGAAGCCTGACTTGGCTATTGACGTGTGTGTAACTGCCAGACGGTCTTGTCTCCTAACATGGTCTGTGTTTTCACCAAGTATTCCTAGGTCTTAAAAAAATTTAAAACTTACTTTCCCAGCTCTAGACTTACATTTGTTTCCGTGTTTGCAACCAGGTGTCTGTCTCTCAGTGCTGGTCAGACAACGCTGTCAAGAGAACGATGGCTGAGAGCAAAGCAGCTGGAGTCTTTAAGAAGAATGAGGCTCCAGCAGCAGAAATGTGTGAATGGAAATGAACTTTAAAGATCTGATGCCTGTGAACAGTAATGGGCAAATTGTAGCCACATGATTGTAAAATTCAGATGTTCATTTATACCACATTGTTTTATAGGTAATTTCTATCACAAACCAATGACATTTCCTGAAACCAAGCCTGATAACATCTGATGTTTATATGATATTCAGTAAGGACTTTTACCTTACTGATTTCATGGAGCTTTTGAAGTTTGTTTTATAATTATATAAATTAGTAATGATGTAAAAAAAAGTATTTGATATTAAAAGTTTAATATTGATAATGTTGCTGATTATACCTTTTCCTTAGCTTCAGCTGAGTCATAGGCCAGACTGTTGAAATGCTGAAATGAAGAAGGTTGTTGCAATTTCAAAGTCAGAGGTATCATGCTTCGGATTCCTTATGTTTTCCAGTTCTGTTTTCCAGTTCACAGTGGGTTGGGTTGGGGTGCATTCAGTAGTCCATCTTTGGGGAACGGAGGCGGATTTGCCATTGATTCACATGACTACGTAAAATTCTGTCCTGTCATTTCCCAGATGTTTGGCCACAGAAACTTTTTCTCACTTAACATTTGTTAACGGCCTGCAAAACTAGACTTGTACATGGCAGACTTTTGTATTTTGTGGACCAGTAGTAACACTTCCAAAAATCTGGGGGACTATAAGGTTGCCAATCTACCTTGCCAAGTAATTTGAATAAATCACTATTATCACCATTTTTTTCATAAAAGGACAATCTCTGAATAAGAGTCCTTTAAATGGAATGAATGTAGCTTTTGGGGGCAAAAGAAACCGAGACACTACATTGTCTTTATCTTCTCCTATCCCGGTGCATTTGAGAATCATGCATAAGGGAATGCTGTGCTACAAAGCTGTGTCCACATATGAAAACAAAATAGTCAGCTTAAAAACCAAAACCCCCTTTAGAAAGTTATTTTCTTAATGTCATGTTGTAGTTGCTTTGATTCTATTGGATTTTTGGCCTTTTATGTAGGTTCATCCGTTGGTTCCAAGTATGTTAGATCAGCTAACATCTGCTACTTCAGTAACAGCCTCATACAGCTGCAGGTAGGTTTTCTCCAGACCAATTAGTTTCAATAGAGCAAACTAACAGACTATAGTAGCATGGTTATGGCAACCAGAATCTTCAGAAAGGTTAGGACGTTACTTTTCAAGCTGGCAGTGGTATGAAGTAGCTTACCTAGTTGGAGACAGATAAAGGATCCCTTACATTTTTTCCTATAAGGCCTAAATTGACATTGTTAACCAAGGAAACAGGGTCAGCCTTGAAAAATCAAGGAATTCATTGTACCTAATAACTGAAGTAAAAATTACTAGTTGTTCAACTTTTCCTAAACGCAAATCTATTTTTATAAACTAATGTAAATAATGTTTATATTAGAGTTTAACTGGTTTTCATTTTTATAACTGGTAGACTAGACCTTCCTTAAACTTTTAGAAATAAAATGAAGGCTTAACCTGGATTTGTGAGGATAAAATACATTTTCTTTAACTGTCCTACAGCAAAGTAGATTAGTCACCATGTGTTTTTTGTGCCAATGTAAATTGTAATTTACCAAAGAAAAATACATACATTGCTTGGTCTTGCAGAAAAGTTCCCTTGAAAGAATCTTTCCAATAAATAAAACTTCCCAAATTACCAGTACCTTGGGCTGTTTTTCATGAATGATAAGATTCACCATCCCATGTGATCTGTGTGGGAAAAGGCCATGTCCTCCTGGTGGAAGACATGAGAGAGGTGAACTGAAGTGGAGGTGGTGCAGCAAGAGGGACCTTCCTGCTCAGGGCCCACCCAGGCAGCGGAATGCAGTGCAGCGCTTGGCTGCAGAAATCCTTTGTCCCTCACCTATATACACATGGACAGTCAAGTTTGTTGCTCTAATGTAAGGCACAGCGTTAATCCTGTATGGCCAGGAAACTGAGTAGACTCCTGTGTAACCTTGCGTGGAACTTTGCCTTAAAATAACTTTTCAAAAATCTCTTTCAAAACTGTTTCTGTGGAGTTTAAACATGTATTTTATCACCTAATGTTAGGTTGTATTTTCCCCCATGTTGGGAACCCTTAATATTTTCAGGACCCGGAAGAAAAGTTGGTAGAAGCAAGCATTCAGTTTTGAATGTTTGGATTTAAAGTATAGTTTCTGATCCATTTTACTTTTTAAATCATGAGTATACTTCAAAGGAGTAAAATACTGGCAACAGCTAGACCAAGTGTTCAGTTATAGCAAATTTGCCCCGTTTACAAATTCTTTAATCTGTTATGCAAGGAATTCTCATACACATTTGTCACTTTAAATTACAGTGATACTTTATTTTAACAATCACAAGATTTAACACGTAAAAAAAAAGATACCACTAATAAATAACAAAAGTGGAATGCTTATCAGAGTTACAACAGACATAATGTTCAGCCGAGAATCAATCACATCAACAGAGTAAAGCTCTAAAGATACCAGACAAACCAATACTTGTTGGAATATGCCGTACAACTTTCTTACCATGGGGATTACAGGGGCAAACCCTGGTTCTGTGTGGTCAAGAGTTAGTCAGACAGATTCAGCACACTTGTGCTTCAGACTAAATTTTTTTTGAGACAGTCTTGCTCTGTCCCCCAGGCTGGAGATCAGTGGCACAATCACAGCTCACTGCAGCCTCAACCTCATGGGCTCAAGCAATCTTCCTGCATAGCTAGAAACACAGGCATGTACCACTAAGCCCAGCTAATTTTTGTATTTTCTTGTAGACACATATGTTTCCCAGGCTGGTCTCAAACTCCTGGCCTCCCAGTGTTGGGATTATAGGTGTGAACCACTGCACTTGGCCCAGACTAAATTTTGAAGTTGTTGATCGTCTACATAAGATGTCGAGGATGCCCCTCCTGGAATAAATGAAAACCGGACTTCCGGGATTTCCAGTAGCCAATATGTGTGTGTTCTTACATTCCTGAAAACAGCAAAATGGAATTTAATAGGTGCTGGTATTCACCTCTGATGTATCAGGTTTACTGTGTGACAAGTCTTAATATTCCTAGGTTTACACTGTAGGCAGCAGAGTATTTTTAATGTGTTCAAGTAGAATCTGGGGGAAATTAGGATCAAATGAGAATTCATTTTAGTGTCAGTAACCCTCAACTCCTCAGGGAATAGTTAAGCCATCAAAACTAAAATAGCTTTATATTCAAATGCTTTGGTAACATGTTAGTCACTAAAAGCTAAATGTGTAATTTGTAGAGGTAACACACAGGAATGAACTGACAGAACAAATTATGAAAAATGCTAATCCCCTAAACATCTGCATGTCCAGCCCTTGTGTCTACTTAATGTAGTCTACCCACCCCACTCCAAAAAAAAGGTTCAGTTTATCCCAAAGTGACCTGTTGCTGAATTACTTTCAAATAAGCAAAGTGCTCTGTAGTGTATAAGCTACTCAGGTCTACACATTCTAGAATGATGCGCTTCTGTAGTCCTGGCTTTAAAATCTGGAAATCTACTCAGGTTCAGACTCCTTTTAAAACCCTTTCCAATGAACAGAATTTGTGATCCCTGGATTCAGACAGTACAATTAAAATACCCCAAGAGATAAAAACTTCATATTTTTAAATAAAAGCCATGGAAGGATTCTTATGGCTAAAAGCTAAATCTGAATTATCCGTGTCTGGCATTGTATAAACATATTTTTAAGTTCATTTTGCTGGACTTGATTAATGACTTCAGGTTCTGCAGGACTCTTCTGAACTTTTGCCACTGCAAAGTTTATCCCATGGGTTAATCCAGCTTGGGTAATACTAGCAACCTGGACCATGGAACTTCGTATCTTGGCAAAGGGAGAGACTGCTCTGCTGCTACTGCTCTCTGAAGGAGAAGGAGTTACGTGAAGCCCTGTCTCAAGTTCAAGCATGCCGGAAGCGGAGCTGGGGGTTTTTTGAGATGCAACTGAATGCGCTGGCTCAACTGACAAAAACTGTGGGCCTGTTGCAGAGAGAGAGACATCTAATTGAGATGGCCGAGAAGGTGTCTGTTCTGTTGATTCTGATTGGGTTTCTTCGTTTGAAACTTCACTGGTCATTTGATTTCTTTCCTGACTAGCCTGCTGAGACACAGACCTGGGCTCTGAAAGGTGGGTCACTTTGTTTTGTGCATCTTGCACAAATCTGTGGCAGTAAATATCCATAGGCTTGGCAAAGCCAGTCAATATGTGTATGTTGCCAGCAGAAGGGCTTTTCTTCAAAGGAGACTCCTGGCCTTTTCCAAGCCCACTGCCATGAGCAACAGTTATCTCTGAAGGAGCATGAATGCTACTATCTGTGCTGCTAAGAGACTGGGACCGACTACCCAATCGAGGCGCTGAAGCAATAATACCACAACTAGGAAGAACGTAATCTACTGGCCCTACGCTCTCTAATGAGTTAGCTAGCTGCCTGTCTTCATCAGACTTAGAATTTGTAAGGAATTCATCAGAGTGGTATGAGTCATTATCTGAAGACATGTCCCCATCAGACTCTGCCTGAACTTTATCCATCACTCCTGTGTTTTCCATAGTTTCAAGACTACTGTCTGATTTCCAAAGATTTACTTTTAAGTTTGGTTTTAGAAAGTTAACTTTCATTTCAGGTTTGGTAAAGTTTCCTAGCTTTCGGAGGTTGCCAATATTTACATTGGATTTGGTCTGCTTCACTTTTTGATTTAGAGATGAAAATTTGCTCATTAAAAAATTCTTTCCCTGGGCCAAAGAACCTTGGTTTTGAGATCTGATACCAATGATGTCTTCGTGAGGTTTACTGCTCTTCCTGCAAATTAAAAGAGAAAATAAGTTAATCCCCCATGGAATCCAATATACCAGTTCCAGTTATTAATATAAGTGAAAACACTTACTTACTCAAATTGGTCCCAACTTCTTGAGAACACTGCATTGCTAATTGATAGATAACCCCTCAGAGTTGACATTAAAACAGTGCTATCCAATAGAAATATGTGAAATACATATGTAATTACAATTTTTCTAGCAGCCACATTAAAAAGCAATGAAATTAATTTTAATATTGAACCCAATATATACAAAGTATTTCAACATAAAAATATTAAAAGATTAATATTCCTTTTTGAACTAATTTAATATAGGCAATGTGTAGTGTTCTGTAATTACAGCACACCTGAATTCAGCCTAGCTGCATTCTAAAAGGCTTCACAACCACATGTGGTGAGTGGCTGCTACTGTGGGCAGTGCGGGTCTAGCACCGCCACCATCTGATTATAAATGGGAATCTGCAGCACCTGAACTCAGGTTATCTAGACACATCCCAGCGTGGCTCCATTCAGGTAGTGCGGGGAGAGAGGGGTAAGACTTCCATTTTCTTATATGTCCTGCGGATTACCTGAATTTATTTAAAAAAAGATTTGGGACATTTAACACAATTACTCTTAGTGTCTTCTCTCCTTTGGTATCCCTCATGACAACTACAAATAAGAGAGAAAAGTTGATGCTATTTGCCACAAATGTCTTAGTCTGTGCATTTGTCCTTTTGGGTCATGCAAGGTCACTGATCATGAGCATACTACAGAAAAATTATGGGTTAAAGTAATTCTTCAGCAAAAGCCTGAACAATTTTCTTCTGGCCAAATGGCTCTCTTCACTAGTAGAATGTGGACCACAAAACCTGACAGATGCTCATTAGAAAGAAAAGCCACACTTTTTAAATGTGAAATAATCTGTTGATAGGCATTCTTTTTCCAAATTCAAAAGCCTAATGTTTAAAACATACTATTTTCTCTACAAAGTACTTAGAAAAAATTCCAATGTTTCCTCTCATCAGTTTACTTAGGAGTTAAAAATGTATCGCTTGTGGCCACATGAGTTGTGTCAAGGACGGCAAAATCCTTGCAGGGGCTTGCTCTCAGACTGATTCTCTTGGCAAAATACCACCTACCTAAGTACTTGTGGAGACAGTGTTACTCTATCAAAACTTTTAAACACACCTAGAGGGATATCCTAAGCATATTTTAAATGCTATATCACTCAAGAAAATGAGACTCTGGGCCGGGTGCAGTGGCTCACGCCTGTAATCCCAGCACTTTGGGAGACCAAGGCGGGCGGATCACGAGGTCAGGAGATCGAGACCATCCTGGCTAACACGGTGAAACCTCGTCTCTACTAAAAATACAAAAAATTAGCCTGTAGTCCCAGCTACTCGGGAGGCTGAGGCAGGAGAATGGCATGATGAACCTGGGAGGTGGAGCTTGCAGTGAGCCGAGATTGTGCCACTGCACTCCAGCCTGGGTGAGAGCAAGACTCCGTCCCAAAAAAAAGAGAAGAAGATGAAACTCTGGGTCTTCAGAGTTTTTCCTGAAACTGAGGATAAGCAATAACCTTTAAGGAGGTGGGTGCAGGGTTAAAGGAGTCTGACAATCAGTTTGGCACTGTTAGGGACAAGTGATATATTCACGTCTTTTAATCCAGATTCACAACCTGGGGATGCTATTCTCAAGAAATTATCCTAAACATGAGAAAGTAATACATGACAAAGATATCTGTCATGACTTTTTTATAAAAGGAAAAAATGCTAGCAACCAAAATTCTTGGCAACTGGGTTTAATAGCTGTGTGCCAGGTCTAAGTGCGTTATCATTCAGTTCATGCAATGCACTGACATGGATTTTCTCTCATCTTACAGATAACAAAACTGAAGTAAAGGCGTATGTTTTCCAAGGTTAAAGAGTAATTGATAGAACCAGGAGTCACAGAATCCACATTCTGAACCCACACAATACATTTCCAAACAGATCACAGTAGGCATCTATTTAAATGGTAGTTACGAATTCTACAGTAATATGGAAAATGCATAAAATACAATCTTTAGCAATGAAAGATTATTAACCTGTATAGGTTAAAAATGTACAAGAGGCTGGGTGCAGTGGCTTTCCAGAAGAATTTCAATTAACAAGTGTAGAAGGAATGAGAATTAGAAAAATCACCACAGATCATGACAGGAATAA